AGATATATTTCACTTCCAAACCCTTTCTATTTCTCAGTATCACGATGACAGAAAAAAACCCCAAAATGTAACAAACAAAACTCCTCACAGAAAGTGAGAAGCTAATGAACATCATAATTAGCCTGACTTACCAAGTCAGGTGCTAACGAGGCGAGCAGCAGAGCTCACCGATTTCCAGGGTGAAGGGTCAGCGTTACTCCAACAGCAGGATCTACCCGGGGCCCGGCCATTCCAAGACTCTGGACTGCCCTCTCCCACTCTTATTCAAAGTTCTGTTCTGTGTCTTCTAAAATTAAGACTCAAAGCTATCAAGGATCCCAGAGCACTTACTTCACCACTCCTTGGCTGAGTCACTGTTCGACAGCGCACACAGCACGACACGGTCTGTGCGTATGGCCCAACGCCTCCACCAGCCTCAAGTGCGTTTGTGATTTTCCTCACACGGCTCTTCGGGCTCTCCAAGAGCAACACATCCAAAACTTCTAAACAAGCCCAATGGGCCAGATTTAATCTTCCTGTGAGTTACACGATGTTTGCATAGGGTTGAGAAATACTAGAATTAAAACTTCTCTTGGCTGAGTTACACGCAACACACTGTGTACTTTTTGCTATTAATGACTCTTTAGTAAGTTCCACTTTTACTCTACACACTCCAGAACCCTCTGAGTTAGGCACCGCAGCAGTTCTCTTCATACGAAGCGTTCGCTGAGTTAAAAGTAGCCACTGAAATGTCTTAAAACTTAAATGCTGACTTTCCTATTTGAAAATTTCCACGTGCTGAGAAAAGCAGCAGATGAGAATAACTGATCCACATTTGAGGACACAAACTAAAGATTAGCTTCTTCACTTGAAAAGCAGTTTAGCTCCCTGACTCCCTCCTGCAAATAATGCAAATACACATGGCGGTCCTGTGCAAGACCATAAATGCAAGAGCGCTCAGTTTCCACAGGGCTGACATCCCACACCTCTCATAGGATTGTTGCTTCCTCAATTCCCTAACAGCTGTCACCAGCAAAAACATTATTTACCCGTATAATACCTGTAGGGCAGGGAGTTATTTTATCTCCCTCCTGGGATTAGCACCTCGGAGGGTTCTGGCACAAGGCAAGCCTGGCAGAACTAAAAATGGAACCAAGGTTCGAGTCCCCGTCCATCTTCTCCTTCTGAGATGCAGCACATACCCCTGTCAGCCTGGAAACTCTGACACCCACGGACGCAGGCCACAGACCTACATCCAAACAGATTCCACAAACTGAACTCTGCAAGAAGCAGGGGAAAAAGGGCAGAAGGGGACGTGATCTTTAAGGTCCCTTCCAACCCAAAGCGTTCTGTGACGGACAGACACAGCACCGCGCCGTTGCAAGGGACAGTTAATCCAGACGGCAGATCTTTCGACCAAGTAGCACCATGCCTTTGCGAGTCGCTCCTACTATTTAAACTCTGGGCTTACAAGCGAGCATGCTGAGCTGGAAGAAGGCACTGGAGTAGCGCAGCACCAGGAGCCACGCACCGGTTCGAACCGTGTTAGTTCTTAAGAGCAGACAAAGCCACGTTTTCCTTACATGAGGGCAGTGGAATTCCAAGGTGAGGTCAAAAGCCTGGCCACGGTCAGCAGTTTAGGCTAGTACGTGGGATCACGATGCTGACAAAAGTAGTCCTTGCACTCTAAGTTCAGCAAGAAAAAAAAGTGGATCTTGTTCTTTCTTCACATTCTTCACATCCTAAGCAATATCCAGGAATACTGCCATCAGATGTGGACCTCAGGAGAGGAATTCTTGTCTTCAACCATGCAGAAGTTAGGCCTTTCAGATGGACATTTTATTTTATTATTCAATCGCTTTTGTTTCATTAGAAGAGCCTTAAAAACCAGACAGTTTTCAGCAGCAGTACTGAGCTAGCGTACACGCTGTTTTAGTGGAAAACGGCGTGAACCGCAGCCACACAGAACTACAACAGAAATTACCCAACCTCTGATACCCTGACGTGGGGGAAATCCTGTGGGCTTGGATCATGCAAGAAATAAGGTTGCTTTACAGTTACAGGAACAACACATGTCCAGAATGGGCTCTCAACTGGTAAAACAGTCTGAAAATCAACTGCTAATTGTTTTTACAATTTGCATTTTATATTAAAAAACCTCCCAAAGACCTCAGGAGGCAGAGCTCAGCCTGGAAAGGGCTTTTATGGTTACACTGCAAACCCACAGAAAGCAGGGATCTAGAACGGAAACAGTTCATTGCAACTAAAATACTAACCCTGGGTTCTGCCTGGAACAGCTGGAATTATTTCCCCAGTTAAGCAAATTCCTGTTACTGAAACCCACTCTGATATTTAAAGAAATTTGGAGAAGGTGTCGAGTAGTCACTCTTCTTCCCAGATAACAAGATCAGAACCGTATTAAACGATTAATTTCTAAGTGAACACTGGAAATTTGGGTAAGCAAATTCAAAATATCAAGGTCATATTTACATCCCAGGGTACTAATTAAATATTTAATACCTGTGGTTCCAATATTCTAGGTTTTTCTAGGCACCAAACTATTTAGCCATGTAAAAACCATCTGTAGCAGCTGGAAGACATTCATTTGGCCTGCTAAGACTCATTAGTTTAAAAATACATAAATGAAGTGTTCATTTTATTTCCAAAAAGCTAACACTGCTGCTCCCAGCTCCAGTAGGGTGCTTGGTGAATAACGCTTACGCAATGTTCTTAGCAGGAGGTATCAGATGCCTCAATTTCACAGATGCATACAAATATCTGTGAACTAAAACAAGTATTTAGGTTAATGCTCTTCTGCGCTAACCCAAGTCATTATTCACAGCAACACGAAAACCAGCCTGCAAAGACTAAAAATAGGGATTGAACTATTTCTCCTACGCTCCTAAATCCCCAGTGCTGGAATCTACTTTTAAAAATCATGGATGAAAAGAAATTTCTCTTCAGGACTGGGATTCAGATACCTGTGTTAAAGAATTACAAAACGTAAGCTTCCGTGCACGCCTTTTCTCTCCAAGAGGTTCCTGCACAATCATAACACAGTTTCTAAAAAATCAGGTAAACAGGAGGCATAGCTGAGACTGTAAATAAAGAGTCAAATTTGGCTTAGCATCCACAGGGATCACTCTTCTGGCCAATAGTTTGCAAAGGGTTATTTACTGGCTAGTCTTTTTTAGTTTGCTGGAAGACACTGAGGTTTTAACAAGGTTTCTGCAGAGCATGCAACAGTATTCAGCATTTGCTCAGCTAATGAGTTAAATCACTGCAGCTCTCCGATGACTCGAAGATTATGGGTGTAGGGAAAGGGAATGCTCAGTGAGGGGAACTTTCAGCAGTCACCACCAAACTGCGGTTAAAACAGACACCAATGACTCTATTCAGCTCCCAAACCTCAGACAGTTTCCATTTTCTCAATAACAAAGCATTTTTGTGGAATGAGGTAACAGCCTCCATCTGCCAGGTCTAACCCTCCACTAAGATTTCTCAAGAGTGGCTGAGCTAGGGCCGGAGGCGGCTGCAGGAGTCCCCGAGCCTGGGAGACAGAGGGACAAAGCTGCAAGGGGACAGGCGTGGAGAGGGGCCTCTGCGGGACCGCCGCAGGGATGCTCCTGGGAGTTGGTATCGAAAGTAGCCTCAAGCGAGCTCCAAATGGTGCACGGCTGGGGAGTGCAAAAGGCCAAGGAAAGAGCGAGACTCAACGAAGGGCGGACGGGGACAGGCAGGAGGGAGCAGGGGACGAAGGGGTGCCACGGGTTTGGCGCTCAGCAACCCCTCACAAGCGTCAGGCGCGCTGCGGTGTGGTGCGGAGGGGAGCAGGGGCCTGTGAGCGCCGGGGAACACCCTGCCCCCAGGGACCGCCACGGACCGGCCGCGCACCCCGGGAACCCCGCGAGCGAGCCGGAGCGGCGGCAGCCTCCGAACAGAGGTTGGCAGGGGGTCGGTCTGTTCTGCCCTGGTTGTGTATTTGTATCTTGGCCTCACTTCCAGGGACGCTGGGCACCCACCCGTCTCATCATTTCAGGCAAAGCCAGCTCCGAGCAGCAGGTTCGGGGGAAGGTTCCGCCTCGTGTTGGGACCCCCACGCCCGCCTCTCGCCTCCCTCCGCAAACGGCCACTTGTCAGCCAGGTCCCTCCAATTCCGACTCTCAGCTCCAGGCCCAACACACCTCAGGTGCCCGTCCTACCAAAGACGAGCAGCAGAGACCACCACGACCCCAGGCTCACTCATGCAAATAAAGGTAAAACCTCCTCGCAATGGCACGGAGAGACGTGGCCAGCTGGAAGGAGCTTGGAGGAAAAGGTGGCTACGCAGCACATAACAGCAGGAAAGGATCTTCACGGTGTACACAAGTCTTCTGATCTATTTTTTGTCCCTGCATACATAAATCTTTAAAAAGCAACGCAGGAAATTCTCTGGGACACAGCAGCTGGTACAAATGGACGACCTGTGACTCAGGCAGGTCAGAACATACAGGATGCAACTGAGCTACTACTTTGGTAAATATTGCTGCCAAGAGCAGTTATTCATACCGCTCAGAGCCCTCGTTCTGCCTGTGTGGCAGAAGACATTGGAATACAAATTTCAAGAATCACAATTCAGAGGGATTAGGAAACATTTATAAAAAATGCATTCTGATCGCATTATTTTAGTCTGGTGCATCAGGTCTTACATTCACAAGGACAAAAACAAAGATTCCCAAGCAGAAGTTGCCCCAAAGCCATTTTGCATAAATTTAATTGAAATTTGCAACCTCCAAATCGGTCATACTGCTGCAGTAGGAAGGAAGAATCAAGGAGGCTACAAATGTAAAGTGTAAGATAGTCCTGTTTAGCGTTCATCAGAGCACCAGCTTTACACACTTCTGCTATTCTGCCCCCAAACTGTAGCTAAAGACTCAACAAAAGCAAATACATTTAATCCTGGGGCTACTTTGTGCACTCACTTATTATGCACTAGCAAGCAACAAACTCAAAATGCTCAGAGCAACTGGAACTCAGCTCACCTGCAACCCAAATTGAGCAACGTGCTAATTAGGAGAGAAATGTCACTTCTGAAGGTGCCAATTCTGTAACCACCGGTCTTTATTTCTGCGGATCAGACACAGCCTCCCAGACACGCGCGGAACCAAGGAGGAGGTTTTGAACATCAGAAGATCCGGGGCGTGCTCCCAGCACGGCTGCCAAGTCCCGAGCGGCCCTGCACAACTTCCTTCCCACCTCTACCCCTAGTTCTCGCATCTAAAGCAAAAGCAATTTTTCAGCCGGGTTCTGAAGGCCTCTGCAACCCCGTAGCACCTTCTCCTGACGTTTTTACGATGTTAATGTTGACTCACTCTCTAGTTTAATACCGTGTACCTAGCTGGACACCTGGGGAACACAGCTGGCAAGTGGTAGACCTTCTTTCCCAGCCAGGACAAAACATTTCCCAAGACAGTTTTCTTCCTACAAAGAATGCTGCTGTCACATCTCAAAAATCCACACTGCTAATACTAGCCCCCGTGCAAGGTCAGCCAAAGAGGACTTCCATCAGAGATGAGCTCTGCTAGAGAAGGCTCCCTGGAGATCGTAAGAATAGTCCCGTCAAGCCCAGATGGCAACAACGTGCAGTGCAAACACGGAGACCGGGCAGAGGACTGCGCACACTGAAGTCCACCCTGATTTCTGCCATCTGCGAGCTAAATGCTGAAGTCTAGGCTGAGGCCTTCGGGAAAGGTCAGGACAGTCTTACAGGATCTCAAGACCCTGCTTTTGTTCTTGCTATTTGCCTCTCAATTCCTTTGTTAAAAGATACTAATCTCTCTGTAAGGCAGTTATTTGGAGCCAAGAGTTTAGATATTATTGCAAAACATATGCTTAAAAGAGACTGGAAATGATGTTGGCAGTGTTACAGAGGGGAGCGAAGCGCAGCTTTGGGTCAAAACAAAAAAAAATAAATCTAAGCTAGTAAGCAATTCCCATGTGATAGTTTAGGAGAGCCAGCAAAAGCTTCTTCTAGAAAGAAAACAATACTGTGAGAACGAAGCTAGCAAGAGCTGGCTCTTGGAAAAATAAAATGGCCAGTAATGAGCCAGAGCATTGCCAACAGCACATATCCAAGGGAATCTTTCTGGGAAACCGACCCAAGTCATTACGCTGGAAAGCCCTGAGGGACTAGGGACCTTGAGGCTAAAAGCTGGCAAATTGCTTCATCAGTTAAGGTTGGTCTCAATGTTTTCTACTGCGTAAGAATAATTTGTTTTAGCCTACAGGTCTCTACGGGTAAATTCAGGCTGCTTCCTCTGGGAAGGGAAGCAGAGTGCTCGGCAAAGCCCTGCCCAAGGGGACGTTCTTCGGAGGTTTCCCACCATCGCTGAGATCCCTTCGGCCCAAGAGCCGGCCCAGCGCACCCCGGCTGTTGGCTCTGCTTCACCCTGAGCACCCCTCAGCTCCCGGGTGCTGCCGCGGGGCCCCAGGCACCGCCTGCCCATTACCTGGTGGGAAAATCATCCCAGCGACTTCGGCCAGTGCCCTGCCAGCGAGCCGTCGCCACAAAAATGTGATGACTCTGCCTCCACAAAAGCATCTTCTGGAGACTCATTCACCCCAAATGGACGCAGTTAGAGCAATTATTCTGATGTATCTTGTTTTCCAGAGGGATAAGGAGGAGACCTTGCCCTGTCTCTCTGTTTCAGACAGATTAGTTCATACACCAGGAAATAGGTACACTGATGCAGAGTGATAAAGGCAAGGCTTTTGTCTGCAGCCTTCTCTATCATTTCCAGTCCAGCTACTCAGTTACAGGAGTGTACAGAGAGCACGGAAAGCAAAAAATGTGATCTCCAGCTGCTTCTGTGCTGGCAGAGAAAAATCCTGCACTGGCAGGGGATGTCAAGGTGCTGTCAAATGACTTTCCTCCTCTTCCAACTCCCTTTCTGATTCATGTTGCCATCTTCCTTGCAACTGACCTAAATAACATGTTCAGGCAGCGCTGGAAGTATTTCCGCCTCATGCTCCAACAGCAGCAAGATCTCCGCATCTGGAAAGGGCATTTCTCAGGAAAGTCACACCACGGGTGGCTTAGGAGCATCCTTCCCGAGAAAGGAAGAGAAGCGCCCTGTCTTGTCTCTTTTCATCAGCGAGACTTCTGGGCCGCAGGAGAACAAAGGTTGCCCAGGAGCAGAGAAAAACAGATGCTGTGCCTGTGCCCAAGCCCCAGCAAATCTGAACAGTGTGGGCAGAGTATTCAGTTACCTCATTTCCAGGTGTGCTGTCAGCATGAGCCATGACTGGCTTGGGATGAAAGAGGAAAAACTGTTCCTAGATCTGGACTTGTCTGCATCGTTTATGTAATTATTGCCCAGCAGCCTTTAAACTTTTAATGTCATATCACGCTCTCAGCCCTCAGTTTCTCAACAACCTTTTATCACCACTTGCCATCCTGCTACAGACGAGGCTGGAGGACAGAGTGCGAGAGCACCCCATCCCATCAGAGCCACGGGCCTGCCAGCCCTGCAGGGGGAAAGCAGAGAGCCACTGCAAAAGGACGTCGGCAGGTCAGCCATCCTCAGCCACACAGCGATGACGTACGCGAGCAGCACACAAGCACTTAAACCAGTTGTAAATCCAGACAACTCCAGTACCTCTCCTGCTGTTCGCCTCAGCAGCTTTTATACCCCAACACAGTACCCAACGGCACCGCCTCACAGGAACACACGGACAACCCAACCCCTACCGCTCCACCGTGGCTTCACACACAGAAAGATTTTTTTGATCCCCTCCCGATCTCATTCTTTCCTTTACCATAATTTAGGCACTCCTGACAGCCACGTAGATGCCTCACCTCTTTACAACCCCCTGCAGACTACAGATCTCACTGTGATCTCACCACAACGGCCTTCACTCACAGGCTGTGTACTGAGTAAATGAAAAAGTAAAAAGTCAACTGAAAACGCAATTATTGCCAACAGGGAACTGGACCGTGGGGAAACAGAGGAAGGCATTCCGAGGCTGCATGGACTGCCACGACACTTCCAGCTCTCAAGCGAGGAAGGGCCAAGCCTGGGGTTTGTGCACTCTACCTTGCCAGGCAGGCGTGAGACCCCCGCAGCCTGACAGACCCCTCCCTTATTCAAAGGACGCACATAAACCCAGCTCCCCCATCACAGCAGGAAGGACGTTATACCGTATCACCGTTATTAAGCTTCAAAACTAAAGCAGAAAAGATGCAAGCAAACCTCACACATCCTTGTGCTACAGCATGCCTGCTGAATCCACAACAGCTAGTCCGTATGTTATCTCTACATTTTTTATTAGCTCATGTTTACTTTGGCTGCACATCCAAGCAGTCATTTAAACAGGGTGAGAGAGGAAAATCTTGGACTCTCAACAATGGCCAAGCAGTTTAATCTGCCACTGGGGACAATGACTTGACTCCTATTGGCGTTTAGTACTGGCAGGGTCAAGTGTAACATGTGCTGAAGGAAGCACTAGGGAAGCAGATCCGCGGCCGTTCCAACACCACCGAGCATTTCCTTGAGCTATTCAGAGGTCCCTCTGCCCCTCCTGCCTAGGGAAAACAGCTCCAGCTGTCCAGTCACCTGCACCGGCTTCTCCGCTCCCTGGATTTATGACATCGGAGGCTGCTAACAGCTCCAGGTTAGGCACAGCACATTCCTCTGGCTTACAGCTCAGATGTTCAAAACTAAGTTAGGAAGCGGTTAAGATTATGTCCTTGGCATCAGCCACCAGGTTGGTGCTGAAAGATAATTGATATTCCTGAACAGAACTGGCACTGGGCACGTTGGCATAAACATAAACATTCATCCAGCGATGACACCGATCAGAAACGTCTGGAGTTAATATTTATCCATGGTGCTGATTTAAGAATTTTTTTTTTTAATATTTGAAAAGTTTGAAATACTTTACATAAAAAGACCTCTGCAACTTGAAAGCCTAGGACAACCTACGGTAATATATTCGGAGGCAAATAAAAAACGACATGAGTTAACAGTCAGATGACCACAGGCCAAATAAAGCCAAAGTGAACAAGACACTAAGAACAAGAACATAAATGTCAGAATTTTTATTCCATTGCTATTTGGATTCTGTGTTAAAACATTTCTAAATAACTCTTGATTTTAGCCCTAATGGACATGTCTTTCTGATTCCTCACAGAGTAATACTATCCTCTCAGTGGGCTCCTGTTCAGTAAGGGCAGAACCATTTGTTAAAACTGTTCTCCCATTTAGCAAATACCAACAGACACACAGTGAGTCACTCAGCAGAGGCAATTCTGCTAGGATGAAATGCAGGAAGGTGGAAGCCATGTGGCATTCATCAATTTCCCCTTTCCTTTCACAATCAGACCCTTGATATTTTCTTCAACAGGAAAACCGACGCTCCCCCTCCCTGTAAACTGCTGACAATTGTATTTTACACCTGGCAAAACCAGTGCAAAACGGAAGGAAGAGAAGGAACAAAGACCAAGGACTTTTCTCAGCAACTTCATCTCCGCAGAATGGAGCATTTTTCCTTCCAGCTGTAGCTAAAGACCCACCGCTCCTGAACGGACAAGGCCTAGCAACGGGACAGCAGCTTCGCGGGCAGCGCCAGCTCCTCCCGGCCGAGTGGCCGCAGAGCTCCCCGGGGGGCAGAGCCGCCGTCTGCCGCGGGCCCGAGCCCACCGAGCCCAGCAAAGCACGTGCAGCTGAACCCCTTCTCCTGCAGACTCTCAGCCCTCACACCTGAACGCCCTGTCCTTTGAAAGTGATCCTAAACGCCTGGTAGTCACGTGAAGATTAAATAATACTGGTGAAGTTCCTCTGCCCCCTAACAACCAGCCTTTTCCCTTTCCTAGACGCAGCTGTTATCTATTGTCATAGCTGTCCTTTTTTTTTTTTTTTAACCAGAGCGAAATGCTTACATTTGTTTTCATGACATCACCAGGCAAAACATTGTCAAGTTCTCTCTGAATTTTTCCAGTTTGACCATCAAAACTGCACCTATTCCAGCAGAAAAAGTCAAAGCCCCCTAAGGAATGAGGTGTAGCAGCTCGCACTCTGGAGTCAAACACCGAGCAGAACCGCAAAGGTCACTCACACCCCCTCTTGCCAGAGCAAGCTGGGTGCTCCACGGTGGGCACGAGCAATCCAAGAACAGCGGCTGTTGACCAGGGATACTGAGCACTGAAGGAAAAACGGTTTCCTTACTGAGCAATTACAAGAAATAATGAAGCTGTTTGTCCAATTAAGAAGTTCGGCTTTTCTTCAGGCCAGCCAGCCAGTCCCCAGTTTTCCATAAACACCTTCTTTGTCTGTGGAAACTTTCTCACACGGAAGGTGAGGCAGAGGTGAAGAGGTTCACGCTCCTGCCCCGCTCCTGAGGCTACGGCTGCACTGAGCGCTCTTCCAGCACGACCTCAGGCAAGCCAAGGACAGGGAAAATCCCACAGACATGAACGAGGGCCCCAGCGGGCCACCAGGAAGATCCTGTGTATCACTGCTGTGATTACCATAAAAGTCCTCTTCAGGGAGAGGGGGTGGGGATCACTTGAGCGCTAAGAGTCATCAATTTGTTCAATTTTCCTGCTGGCATTTCAAAAAACAGCAGGCCGTGCAACAGCATCAGCTCAGCTGCAATGAGGAGCACAGTGGAAAGCATCCTACCTGCTAGAGCAAGCAGCGGAGTGAGCGGGCCCTGGCTGTCAGCAGAACCAAGCGCTGCCAGAGTTGGTGCACTGGGAGTTTCAGTAACCTGCCCGCAGAGAAGCTTTTTCTGGCACTGTCAGTTAAGGGTTCACCTCCATCTTACAGCTGCTAGGTCCAAAACCCGAACGAGCATCACTGAGCTCACACCCCGCAGAAATCTGTTGCCCAGTGAAGGCTGCCTACAGCCACACAAGGCTGGTGCTCCACAGAAAAAACCACACGTGTCATCAGGGCAACCACACTGACACGGGCCAGGAAAGGGGCTCCTGCCTTTCTTCCCCACCATGACCCCGGAAAGCTGAGCCCCCAGGTGCCGCCGTGCCCCCGGACAGCAAGGCTGTGTGAGAGCCCGCTCCAAACCGAAGTGCAGTGTAAACAGGAAGCAGAGCTGACAGCAGACGTGCTGCAGATGGCTGCAAAGCCTGCAGAGGCAATGGCAGCGGCCCGCCGTCCTCCCCAGAGCCCAAGGAGCCCGCCCGGTCTCCAGCATGCCAGCGCCCGCTCCGCTCTGCGGGTGCTGCTCCGCAGCCCGGCCAGACACGCTGATTTACCCCAGGAGGCACCTCAAAGACACCCAACGGGGAGAGCCAGCAAGATCCCGGAGCTGAGACCCCGGAGCTGTTCACAGGGCTTCCTGCTCGGGAATTCTGGATACTTCCAACCACCACCCTGCCTTTGGCGTGTCCCCACCACTCCCTATGTGCAGGTTTAAGGAGTTCTCATTCCAAAACATACTTTTTGCTGTAGAGCATCCACTATAATCAGTGCCCACAACTAGCTATATTGCTGATATTTTTGTCTCCTGTGCTATGCCACCAGTCTTAAAACTACAAAATTACAGACCCAGCTGGGTAAGAATTAAACTAACGCTCACAACTCTGTGCCTCTAAGGAAGTAGCCAGCAAGAGAACCATATGGTCTCCATCCTAGGAAAAGGAAAGAAAATGGCACAAAAATAAGACTGGAGAGATGTCAGGCTTCCCCTTTCCTGCTGATGGCCTGCCTGTCAGGAAGTTAAACCACATTTTGACAAAGCAAATTAGGGAAATGAGGCAGCTTCAACACCTTTGTGAACACCAGAGAAATATTACTCACACCAAAGGCAAACATTTAAACATGAAAGACTCCTAAGGAAATGTCCAAGAAAACACTTCTCAAAAATTAACAGTAAAGGAACATTTGACAATCACACACACATTCGTAGCCACTAGGAGAGCCACAGATTTCTAATGCTCAGTAGGAGTCGGAGAAGTAAAATAAATCTCCCTGCACCCTTCCCTCACTGTTCACTAGTGGCCTGGGCTGCTGCCAGGACACCGCGTCCATCAGACCACGGGCCTGGTCCAGGGCAGCCTCTCCTGCGCTCCCGTGACTCTTTGGAAAGGTTTCCTTTATGATTTTCAAAACTGGAAAACACTGAACATACTAAATTCAAATCTAAGTAGAGAGAGCTCAGTACCAAAGCCTGCACTGAAGGTGAGTTACCACCATCACATGCCATCCGAGGAGCTTTGAGTCAGTGGAAAGTCATTCCTGCTAACACGCCTCGCCCAGGCTAACTACAAACCATACCCAGCGTTTCCATCAACTCTCATGAAAGAGTCAAAGCGATGAATGTGACCACAAAACACCAGCAAGACTGGAAACCAAAAAAGAAAACGTTACCTGTAAGAAAGCATAGCAATCTGAAACAAAACTGTGTTCAGTGAAAAAAAAAAATCTGAAAAGATGTTGAGCTCTTTTTTCAATGGCAAGATTCAAAGTGTGACTTCTGAGCCTTTGTTTAACACGCAGAGGAAGCAAGGCTTTGAGGAGTCTCTCCCCGCACCTACCCTGGGACTCAGTGCAAACAGCAACCATTCAGGATGTGTTAAAAGTTTTCTCTACACTACGTCTGAGCATTTGGTTTAAGTTTACTTCCCAGTTTATTGGCTGGATGAAGTTTCAGAGCTTTCTTAATAAAATACAGCTTAAGCGCTGAAACTTTACAGTCTGGGAAAGAGACACGGCCGAAAGACTCTTTTTTTTTTTTCCGCCTTCTTCTTTAACAAAACGGTGCAGGCTGTGCTTCCTAGACCGAACCGGAGCGAAGCTCTCCGAGCGAGGCACATCCCCGGTAACGACACAGTAAACCCCGCCGGGGTGCCGCGGGGATGCCCCGTCCCCGGGACCCCGGCCGCGGAGGCACCGTGCAGCTCCCCCCGCTCCCCCCCGCGCCCCGGGGGAGCCCC